ATATTCAGTGTCAAGATAGAGACATATCAACACGAGGGAGAATATGTAGTAGATATAGACATATTCAGTGTCAAGATAGAGACATATCAACACGAGGGAGAATATGTAGTAGATATAGACATATTCAGTGTCAAGATAGAGACATACCAACACGAGGGAAAGTATGTAGTAGATATAGACATATTCAGTGTCAAGATAGAGACATATCAACACGAGGGAGAGTATGTAGTAGATATAGACATATTCAGTGTCAAGATAGAGACATACCAACACGAGGGAGAGTATGTAGTAGATATAGACATATTCAGTGTCAAGATAGAGACATACCAACACGAGGGAGAGTATGTAGTAGATATAGACATATTCAGTGTCAAGATAGAGACATATCAACACGAGGGAGAGTATGTAGTAGATATAGACATATTCAGTGTCAAGATAGAGACATACCAACACGAGGGAGAGTATGTAGTAGATATAGACATATTCAGTGTCAAGATAGAGACATATCAACACGAGGGAGAGTATGTAGTAGATATAGACATATTCAGTGTCAAGATAGAGACATATCAACACGAGGGAGAGTATGTAGTAGATATAGACATATTCAGTGTCAAGATAGAGACATATCAACACGAGGGAGAATATGTAGTAGATATAGACATATTCAGTGTCAAGATAGAGACATACCAACACGAGGGAAAGTATGTAGTAGATATAGACATATTCAGTGTCAAGATAGAGACATACCAACACGAGGGAGAGTATGTAGTAGATATAGACATATTCAGTGTCAAGATAGAGACATACCAACACGAGGGAGAGTATGTAGTAGATATAGACATATTCAGTGTCAAGATAGAGACATACCAACACGAGGGAGAATATGTAGTAGATATAGACATTTTCAGTGTCAAGATAGAGACATACCAACACGAGGGAGAGTATGTAGTAGATATAGACATATTCAGTGTCAAGATAGAGACATATCAACACGAGGGAGAGTATGTAGTAGATATAGACATATTCAGTGTCAAGATAGAGACATACCAACACGAGGGAAAGTATGTAGTAGATATAGACATATTCAGTATCAAGATAGAGACATACCAACACGAGGTAGAGTATGTAGTAGATATAGACATATTCAGTGTCAAGATAGAGACATATCAACACGAGGGAAAGTATGTAGTAGATATAGACATATTCAGTGTCAAGATAGAGACATATCAACACGAGGGAGAATATGTAGTAGATATAGACATATTCAGTGTCAAGATAGAGACATATCAACACGAGGGAGAATATGTAGTAGATATAGACATATTCAGTGTCAAGATAGAGACATGCCAACACGAGGGAGAATATGTAGTAGATATAGACATATTTCGCACCAAGATAGAGACATACCAACACGAGGGAGAGTATGTAGTAGATATAGACATATTCAGTGTCAAGATAGAGACATATCAACACGAGGGAGAATATTTAGTAGATATAGACATATTCAGTGTCAAGATAGAGACATGCCAACACGAGGGAGAATATGTAGTAGATATAGACATATTTCGCACCAAGATAGAGACATACCAACACGAGGGAGAGTATGTAGTAGATATAGACATATTCAGTGTCAAGATAGAGACATATCAACACGAGGGAGAATATGTAGTAGATATAGACATATTCAGTGTCAAGATAGAGACATATCAACACGAGGGAGAATATGTAGTAGATATAGACATATTCAGTGTCAAGATAGAGACATACCAACACGAGGGAGAGTATGTAGTAGATATAGACATATTCAGTGTCAAGATAGAGACCTACCAACTCGAGGGAGAGTATGTAGTAGATATAGAGTGAGTGAGTTGTGTTTAACGCCGCTTTTAACAGTATTCCAGTTATATCGGTGTGTCAGCTTAATGTGGGAGGAAAGCCCGAAGTGATGCAGGTCTCAGACGTTTACCACTTCGGTGAAACCCACGAGCACGGGTATGGTGCTGACAAACCTAGAAACATAATCGGGTCGAACCGAGATTCGAACCCACAATCATAGGTTTCTGGCGTGCCCAAGGGACGCAACTCTGCACAGCGAATCGTGGCGCGTTAGACGACTGGGCAAACCGTGCCCCCAGTAGATATAGACATATTCAGTATCAAGATAGAGACATATTAACTCGAGGGAGAGTTTGTAGTGGATTTAGACGGATGTGACGCATAAAAACGCCATGTACCCCTCGTGATCCTGCCGCAACATTTAATGTTATTCCATTAACTATGATGTCACCGGTTTACAACATTGATAAACTAAGCTGATTTATTTTCGTTCTTCAGGGTAGGATCCGTACAACAAAAATAGAACATGTGCGTGCTTTAGTTCTCCGAGCATTCTTTAGGTGTGAGAAGTCCGCCATTAAATTAAGTCGAATGATTGTGTTGGGATAACTATCCATCAGGATTAGCCCTACAGGCACTGGAGGTTTGCGAACATCAACTGCACGTCACGAGATCCGGCCACAACACGGTGCTGACAAAGCTCGACCTGGCCCAGAGCGTCCCGTCGACGTGTGTCGCAGCTCAATCTATCAATCACTATTTCGTCATTTTAGTGAAGGCCGCAATTTCAGAGCTGTAATATTAATGTTCTCAGTAATATTCACAACTTTCGCAAAGTGTGTGTGTGTGTGTGTGTGTGTGTGTGTGTGTGTGTGTGTGTGTGTGTGTTAAGGGTGTAACTTATGTGGAGTCATAACGTGAAGGTTAGGGCCGATCATTAGATATTATGGTAAGGGCTTCATTCCAGTAAGGAATCATGATCACTATTCTAGCTTGACGATCTTGTAGTAGGAACATTGTTTCCAGAGAGTAGGGGAGCAGCATCTGGAGCATAGTGATACATACATTATTTGCTGTTAATGTTTTTTCTTTACTATCTATACATTAAAAAATCGTTCAAATGTTCAAATGCAACTTTGTGCAGAGTGGCGTCACTTGGGCGTGCCAGAAATCTGTGATTGTGGGTTCGAATTCCTTATTGCATTGATTCTGTTTCTTGGTTTGTCAGCAGCTGATAAACGTCAGAGACCTGCATCACTTCGGGCTTTCCTCCTACATTAAGCTGTCACGCCGTGATATGACTAGAACATTGTGAAAAGCGGCGTTGAATCCAACTCACTCACTCCTGTCTTAAATGAATGAGTGAGTGAGTTTCATTTTACGCCGCTTTTAGCAATATTCCAGCAATATCACGGCGGGGTACACCAGAAATGGGCTTCACACATTGTACCCTTGTCGGGAATCGAACCCGGGTCTTCGGCGTGACGAACGAACGCTTTAACCACTAGGCTACCCGACCGCCCCTCCTTTCTTAAAAGCAACAAAACCCTTTCCATAGCCAGAAGAATCCTTTGCTAAAAGTTTAATCGATTTGTACGATTCCGACTTTATCATGAGGATGTGTTTATGAATCCCTATTCACAATCACAAATAGTGATGATACCAGGTGTTCGCGAGAAGGTGAGCGTTTCCTGCCCAACCAGTGGCAGCCGTCAAAGATCTCTCTGTGGAACGGGGCCCAGTAGAACAAAGAGCCTGGATGACCAAAATTAATTATTAAGAAAAGAAAACAAATAACTTGATCATGAATCTATTTGCCGTGTCTTTTCAGAAGGAGATTCATTTCTAATATGAACTACTGTCCAGTTACCTAATATATTTCAGGAATGTCACATGCTTTTTTATTCAATGTTGAAGACTGCTTAAAAGGGGCTATTATTTTCTACATCCTGATCAGAAAGCGATCACACCAATGATTAAATACGATTCGACTGCATCAGTGAAATATGATTTTAAATCAAGTTCAATTATATTGACAAAACAGTAACTTTGGAGGGACACTGACACTTACATCAAAATTGAATTTCTTTGTAGCGACGGAAAGTCTCTAAAACTTAGTAATTGAATTCCAGGAAGGAACGACTTCAGATATGAGACTCTCCATTAAGTCAGCAAAGTATTGGGATAGATTTTTCATAGAAGGACATACATCATACAGTCTTTTATTCAATGAAGCAAAGATTTCCTGCGTCGAATATTCATCATAGAAAATGATATGGCTTGCCAGATATGGACATCTTTATAGTCTAAATTGATGAAAATTGGTATTATTTTGTGCGGATCAAACACTTATGATATTATTGCATAACCGAGCATTCCATCTATGTCAAAATATTTGGCGCGCTTCACAGCGCCCATCCATCTATCCGGGCGTTGAGAAATCCTGGTTGGTCTGACGTTAATATGATGGAGTAAAACGCCTGTGCACTTAATCATTTCTTTTTTTCTGTTCTCATAATTCTACAGAAATCATGTTTACTTTATTCGCATTCTCATCGAATATTCAAACTGAGCTTTTTTTCCAGGGATGGTTTTATTACGTGAAATCGATGTTGCCGTTTCTTTGGTTTAATGTATATCCTTCCACTTGGCTCGAAATTTGATGAACAAAAAATTGTCTTTTTAGTGAAATTTGGGATGATTTGGAAATCATTATTGATGGTTGCTACACAGCATTTAAGATTCGGCCGAAAAAGTTAGAAAATGCTTGACTGATATTTAATCTAAGCTTTATGACCTTAACGATCTTTCGTAATGAAACAAGTAATATTATGAAACAGGTTCATTAACATTGCAACACAGACGTTCATTGCTAGTTTGTCATACAGTGCGCGAAGTCTCCGCTGCGATACTGATGTAATAATGTAGCGAGCGGCAAAAGCAGCCTTGTAGAACACATGTGGGTGGGTAACAAGCATTTCTTTTACGTTTAAACATATGTATTTAGTTGTCATGCATTTTGTACTTTGTAAGTAGTGTATTTATTAAAATGGAAACGCTAAAGAACCTGATATGTGATGTGATTCCTATGTTGCTATACATGATATGCAGTTGCTGGTGCAGCTGCCACCCTCCCTTGCAGTCCATCATAACAACAAAACATATTCGTAACAACTCTTTTATTTGTATGTTCTGCAACTTTCTTCAGCTATAACAAATATACTATAAACGTGTCTATAAACAATGCACTTATCTGAAAAATGGGAAATATTCTATGATATGTTAAATAAGTGTTAAAATGTATTTATCACATTATCTCGATCGCTTACAACGAGTTCTATCAACATCTTCATCACCATCACAGTAAGACTCTGTAGCAACGTGACGACAACAATCACTCGGCAGTACTGCAAACCTCGGAGTTGGATTTGACTTAAACACGCTATCCAGCTACGGATAATATCACAAACACAGCTCCAGTATTGCATGTTGAACTAACTATGACAATGATTATCATTATGCATCATGGGAACATTTTGCTAAAGTGTAATTGTAAATTTGAAATGTTGATGTTGTGTAGTATTGAAATCCCAGAGCAAGTGCTTCCTAGGGCTTCCTTGGGCCCAATCCAACATGATTCGGATGATTTCAAAAACGTAACGCTCACACGGTCATACCGATGGCGATGACACACACCATGAAAGAACGATGATGTACAGATACACTGGACACTGTTGCTTCTATTGCACGACTCCATATATATATATACTGAACCAAATTTCAAACTTCACAATCCTTAAATTTTAACATTTTGACCAGTTATCATTGTTGGCCCTTATTGTGTATTTAAACAGTAATGGCCACGTATTGTCTTCAGATAACACCCGTTTTTGTGCGGGTGAATCGATCAAAATCATGTGCACAGCACTATAGTGGCAAAAGTGGTTTCTCCCGACACAATGACAAACTCACCTAGTATGTATAGAGTCAGCATGGACGGTTATAAACAGTGCCTACAAAAGAAGGTACATTCGAAACGTATATCAAATGGTGAAGGTTGGTTGAAATGAAACAACCATTGAACGCCATTTCACAACCCATAGCCGTAGCACTGAACATACTAGATGGTAATATAACGAACATTGCGTACATACAATAATCAATAATGTTAAAACGAACAAATACACAAAAAGCAGTAATCCTAGCACAGATTATAAATAAGATTTAAATATTATTTAAGAAATTTACGGATGAATTACCACCTCTTCCACCAGAAATGCAGCATTCTAAGTTGCACTAGTCATATCTTTATATGCTGAAGATTAAATTCTTTTCCTCAACCGGATCAAATGACGTACAATTTTGAGAATATTTATCCTGATAACTAAAATATTAAATAAGAAATTAAACCATATATTTGCATAAATATTAAGATAACGATAGTTAAATTTGCTTAATATATAAATAAGTGTTTCTTAAAATTTCAGAAATTTCTCAGTTATTTACAGGTATGCATGTGATCTTTATACATACATCTATCTAAAATGCCTTTAATTATCAGTCATTAGGATCTTGCGTTTAAGTCTTATTTTGTTTAGATAGTTTAATTATTTAAAGAACAGAGGAAATCTGTACACAATAAAAACACATACCCTATTTTTGTATGTCCAGTTTGGACGGATCAGGATATAAGAGAACCTAATTCCAACTTCAAGTGTTGTAGTTCCTGAAAGACACCCTAAAGCCCGAATGGCGAAATCTCTAATACCCCCGTTTGGAGGTGTATCTTACGTATGTGATAAGTTATCAATCTGAGTTCTTATGGATCAATCAGATTGATGATTGATACCTTAATGTTAAACAAATGGTTCGCTTCTTGAAAATGATCCAGACCACAGAACGAAGTCCCCCACTTCACTAACAGACCGGGTATCACTGCGATTAGTCATAGGTGCTGGCGATGTTATTTCCCCTGTCGTCTTATGAATAACATGAGGCAGATAATGACCTATTAACATAGACGCGCCAGACACAAACAAGTGGTCCTAAGCGGATACAAGTACCGTTATAAGTATTTTAAGAACTGTGTTTTCAATAAAACACGTGTACACCTAATTATTTACTAATACTGAGAGTACTGACAGTTACTGATAGCACACCGTGATCTGTCAAAGCTTACAATGTATTCTCTTTGTTTGTCAAGATGGCGGTACATTGTTGAACTCCTTAGCCTTGAGACAAAGTTCCTTCATCTGCAGTAGACTACTTTCCAGCGACATCGCAAAGAAGGCAGAGTCGCTATCGTCGTTGCTGTTGAAGGAGGAGACGGTGACGAGGATGTAGTCGGGGTGGGGGTTATAGCAAATACCGTAACCATCAGGTACGACAGGTCCATAACACATGAAAGAGTCCATTGATGTTGGCACCTGAAGAAAAGCGGGACGTTATGGCGTGATTGGGCAAGTCTACATCCAGCATAATAGTATATAAATATACAATTATTTGATCTCTAGAATGTAATAATACATGTGTCATTTCAATCGTAAATGTTACACTGATACTTTACAAATACTGTATATTTTAATTCAAAATGTTTCCCTAAAATTGTAACATTACTTGATGTCGTCACTGGAGTTTGTAAATACATTATGACGTCACAGTTGTAATTCATGACGCCATCATAAGTATGACATTGTCATTCATATGTCATTGTCAGTTACACTGAAGAGCTGTCATGAGACAGTGAAAGTACTATGTCTGAAACTGATATAAAGATGATGTTGGACTAACGCGGACTTTATTATTTTATTTTATATACACTGGACAAAAAAAGGAAACGCATAACAGAATAATCAGTGTTTCATTACATGTTTAATGAAATAGGATTACACAATAAATAATGAAGATACAACAACCAAATTTTACACAGTCAGTACCGGGTGTTACCACCACGAGCATCGATCACAGCTCTGCACCGCCTGGGCATGGACTGTATGAGTCGTCGAATCTGGCGTTGTGGAATCCTTCTCCACTCATCCTGCAATGCATGGTTCAACTGTTGAAGCGTCTGTGGTTGAGGCTGTCGGCGTCGTACACGTCTGTCCAGCAGATCCCACAAATGTTCAATGGGGTTTAGATCAGGCGATTTGGAGGGCCATGGCAGCACAGTAACTTTGTTGTGGACAAGAAAAAACATGGTAACACGTGCAGTATGCGGTCTTGTGTTGTCTTGCTGGAAAATCTCTCTTCTGACGTCAATGGCGGGAATAAGTTGACGTTGAAGGATTTCATCACAGTAGCGTACAGCAGTTAAATTTCCCTGTACGTGCACCAGATCTGTCCTACCATTCACGGATATGCCTGCCCACATCATGACACTTCCACCGCCGTATCGGTCGACTTCATGAATACAGTGTCGAGTGTAGCGTTCATTTCTCCGTCTGTAGACACGTATCCTACCATCATGGCGATACAGCATGAACCGCGACTCATCACTGAACCATATCCTTCTCCAGTGCACTAGGATCCATGGTCGAACATTTCTGCTCCATTGCAGACGTGCACGACGATGATGGTGCCGCAGAACGGGCGCTGTATATGGTCTCATTGACCGTATCCCATTCTGTCTTTCTGATTTCTGATGGTTTGCGCTAAGACTCTACGAAGACCAGGAACATTGTTAGCTGTGTATGCTGCACTGATTGTCCGGTTGCGAAGATGCAACACCCGGATTAAGCGGTCCTGCGCCGCAGTTGTGACCCTGGGTCTTCCACTTCTCGGTCGATCTCTTGTAGAAATGCTGAGTCTGTAGCGCTGCCACAGACGAGAAATGGTACTCTGCCTCACGTTAAAGTGCCTAGCTACTGATGTCTGACTTTCTCCAGCTTCAAGACGTCCAATGGCTCTGTTTCTACAGTCTCCATTCAGTCTTGGCATCATGAGAGTCACGTATACAGAACATCGGAGAGTGATTCGCAGCAGGACTGCCAAATTGTTATACCCATCGGTATAAAGGTTAAGTAGCCGTATTTGCACGTGCAGCATGCTTACAGCTTTTTCTCCATGCAATTTCTCCCAGTTTGGTTTCAAGATGCTGTATTTTGGCGACAAGTCACCAAATGTTGTGTTCGGGTGCAATAAATTAGTGTAAGTCAATATTCACAGTTAGCAATGACATTTATATTGAGTTCAAGCCTTCATCTTTAATAACAGTCAAGTTTGAAAAACAGATTTCAGCTATGCGTTTCTTTTTTGCACACACAAAACGCCAACGCCAGACAATACCCTTAGTCTCTGAAAATATATAAGTTTGCTTGAAACAAATAATTCCATTTAAATTTAATAAGAATCATTTTGCATTACATAAAGGGGTGGTGTGGGAAGTAAACTACCAGGTTCAGGGACTGAGACAGACTAGAAAATATCCAGTCCACATTCATCTTCCCGAGGCAAGGGCGTTAACGTCCCTGCTATTAAAGTTTAACATTGGCAAATTGGGAATTACAAAATATACAGTTAGATTGAGAAATGTGCGTGGTTGTTGTATACCTGACTCGTTGACATGGTGAAATGGTTGGCAAGTCGGAATCCTTCATCTTTAAAGAAGTCCGGCATAGGAATACACGCGTCGACTGCGCATTCTCGAAGTCCCAAAAGGTGACAGTCAATGCCGTGACCAAGGATTGTCTGCAAACAACCCACATCTGTACTTTTTGCACTGATAACATGCATGTCATGTTTGATATACAGCAAAAGACAAGGATATATTAAACTGTAAACACCACAGACTAAAATTAAGGACACTGACATCATGCTTTATTCAGAAATATATCGACAATTAACAATTTGACATTGCCCTGGAACCCTTTTCTCTGTTTTTGCGATTCTTTTCAAAAACAGGCCACAAACCAACGCATAGATACAATTAGCAACCTTTATATTAACAGTATACACTTCGGCATGATTTCTGACGAGACTTAGAACCTTTGCTCATCAATTTAAACAAACGCAACTATCAATAAAACAAATCGTAGATGAGTTCAACCACGAGTGATTCTTCGGATAATTTATAGTAAACGGTTTTTGGTATCGTCAATTAAATGTGAAACGATAAAATAAATGTAAAAAACATGACTTCGTAAGACACAGATCTTCCAAGATTCCCCTTCACTTCAATAATGTTTTAGGTTACGTTGCCACGCTAACAACAAAAAATTCACCTTGCAGATTTCATTGATCTTAATTAATTTTCTTTGTTTGATAACAGATTATGTCTCGTCCATATACGGGCTCGAGATGGACTTGGCGTGGCCTGAATTACGCAAAACGTCCTCACTGGCAATTAGCTATTTGCCCTTTGTGAAACAAAAGTGACCCGAATCCTTTGAACTCTTCGTCAGGAATTTGATCCCACTGACTATTCTAATTTTCGGTTCTCTAAAGCCACAGTCTAATTATGGTTGCCTCGATAAAGATCGGGTTTTGTCAATGTTAACTTGGGAGGGTCCATAACGGAAATTGAGAGAACAACCTATTTCCCTGCAGACTTTCATTTCTTTCCAAAGTCCGAGTTCAGGTGGTATGGCTGGAAACAGCGTCGAACAATGTCGGAAATTGTAGTTTACAGAAGAATCGAGTACTTAATGATCTAATTAAAGCTACAACAAATATTTGTCCACCTTATTCTGAGACCAAGAAAAACACTCAAGCAACCTTTATGTAAAAAACGTGAAACCTTTTGTGGCTTGTGTCGGATGTGAGCAAATGACGTTTTTCTGATTCATTGATTATATAATTCTATGAGGTCAACTTAGTCACTGTAACTTTCTGCCTCAATTAAACATGTAATTTTTATACGAGTGCAAGAAGCCTGTAAAGAGTTTTTATGTAACATTCAACATTTGCGGTGTGAAAAAAATGCTGGAATTTAAAGAAGTACATAATATCGATTTATTCCCAAAGAAAAGAGAAATGTGCAAGGATAATTAATGCTCTTCTTCTAAAAATGTTTTTTTCACTTCACAAGAAAACGATAAACATATTCTGATTTTCCATAGAGAAAGAAGAAAAAACCATTAAGGCAATATTTGGAGCCGTTGCTTTTTGAAATTCTATTGAAAATGAATATTAACATTTCATATTGTTAGATACTTACACCAGTCATATAGTCGGCTTGTCGTTGTAAGGCCTCTTGTAGCATAGCGAATTTCTCCTCATCCTGATACAAACATATTATCAGAATATCAAGTATGATGACTACAATTTCATCCAGTACCACTAACTGAACTCTAAGTATAGGTACAGCGTATGTCCATGGTGGTGGTTGTACTGGATTAACCTTGTGACAAAGCTGGCCATGCTGAAGACTCGGTTTATATGGTGACTGGGATATTGTTAAAACGGCATATAATCATACTCATTCACGCTTGCTAATGACTTAATAATAGAGAACAGGGTCCATAGTATTGTAAACATTTACGACCAAATCGTGCAAACCTCACCATTAAAACTTTATCATGGTATTCACAGTTATATGTGGATAATTGTATATTGCCAGCATCTACGTACGGTACAGTCTATTTCTCCTATCATCGCCTTAGACCATTCAAGAGCTGCCAGAGAGTTGGCCCGGATGTTGTCAACTCTGCCGAGCCGGAAGCGACGGGTGGATGCGCTCTCATACGTTGACACCAGGCGGGAATGCACTCTGAGGAGACACATTATTTACATATTATTCACTCGTTCGAGTCGACCTTTCTGTAGGCCTACATGAAAAAGATAGGCAATGTTGCCCGACATTCAAAGTGTGCCGAATGTCATATGTGATTGAAAGCATTGGTAATGCACTTTCCTGATATGTAGAAATCCTCACTTTCTCAAGATGTCCACAGCGAGAGTAGAGATGGCTGTGCAGACCAGTAACCTGTCCTCATATTTATTATCTTCACGACGTTTCAACTATATTTCTGTGATACTCCTAATGTTTTTATTCTATTTTCAATTCTAAGATAAATAAAGCATATTTCTCAATCTAAATGTCCTGAAAACACCCGAGGTACATGTCCTATCAAAATATCAGCCCTTGGGGACTTTTGGTTTGTAAGAGGATGGTGGTTTTACAGTTTCCGCGTTTAAAAAAATAATTTATAATTAAAAAACAAACAAACTAAGTTTTTCGATTCCATGTCGTGAAGAAATCTAAATCCATTTCTGTTGCTCCATAGCATATCGATCTGTAAGATTTCTCGACCGTGTTTTTTTATATAAACATTCTTTAATGTTGTTTCACTTTCAAAAATTAGAAACTATTTTTTTATGTCCACGCCATGACCAAATCAAAGTTATGTTATCGAACATATCTTCATAACGTTTCAGCTCACTTGAACCATCGGGAGTGCAGAATCTTTAATTTTGATATGTACTCTAACAGATACGAGTATAAACCTCTGTTATTGTTAACAGTTTACACGTTCATGACACGGCAGATAGCATCACCTTGGACAAGCACCTGTTGTCTTGTTTCTGATTTGTGTAGCGTTGACACAGTTTGATTGTGTCATCTCATGTTAAGGATATCGGTTAAAGACATTCCTATGTTATTATCCATTCAAAAACGTGCATCTGTGTAACAGTTCACCCATCACTCTACTAGGGTTGAAAACGCAAGAACAGTTGTTACTCCCTACTTCCTGTATCTACACACCAGTATTCTCGACTGACTTGTCCATGTAATGCATGTGACAGACGGGTAGACTATTTTAGTTATAATTCTATTTTCTTACATCTAATATGTAATTTGTTTCTGTTAATCATAAACGTCCACTTTTGCATGTACTTTGCGATGATCATTTATCTTCCCTGTGGGCCTTGCAACAAAAGGCCCACGGGACATTTATTTAGATAGCATCGTTAACTGGTCCCTTTCATTGGACAATTGTATATTACTGACTTGTATTAACTAAATGGCTACTCACTCCGTGTTAGTAACGCCAGTCTAGGGCGTTTGTATCTCAGTCCCAAGATTATGCCAAGTAAAATACATTTGTACATATCTCCACATTATTTGGAAGCAAAACGAATGTTTATGAGACATTTTTGAGGAAATATAAGACGTAACGAAATAACCCCTTGATATACCAATGTAATAAAATTATTTCCTCCGCGACTACACAAGCTATATAGCCTATTATGATCATGATAGAGTAAGACATGAACTAGACCTACAGGGAGATAAAGGACGAATAGTTGCCCACGCAAAATATAACTCACATAAAAATCACAGTTTTTTTCAAAGCCGACCATCAGACCATACACAATTTCATTAGGGCGTTATCCTAATTATCAACCAGACCAGTGCGAATGATTTCAGTTGCATTTGGCTAAAATATCTGATGTACGTTTACGCGATACGAAGCGGTGTCACAAAATCAATTCGAACATCCAAATGAATGTGTTATTAGTTATGTCCTGACAGTCCAATTCTTCATCTGCAAGCTTAGAGCCTTGGAACCAATTCTCTGTTGTCGCCGCCAAGTTTATAAACCTTTGGTTGAGAGACGATACGGGTCTGTAGGGATTCGTACTAACACTGGGGCTATCAAGTTTAATCCCCGGGTCGGAAGCGGACATTGACAACACTGTTGTTCATCTCCAAGAAAGGTTACATGTGAAACAGATTGAAATAAACGGTGCCATTTTTTTCTGGTGAATAATCGAGTTTTGAAATGAAATGTTTTGATGAAGTTACGCCCAGTGGTGTATATGAAAAAGTCTGAAAACTGTATAATGACACAAGTGGTTTATGAGATCGTCCTTTTCCATCAGGTGCTTGGTCATTTGTTAGGATGATAATTTTTATCAGGTCGAGAGCTATCACATTCATACTTTCATTTTGCCCTTAATAGCTCAACACACGATATAATTTCAGCACATATTTATACACTATATAATGAAATAGAATATCTGTATTTGTCATGAAATAATTGCTTTTCACGAAAATCACATAAAAATGTGACAACAAATATCATATTTTATCATTTTCATTTGGAAACAACGCGATATTTCAAACTATCAATAAACCATTGTATGTACTACAGCAGATTTCAATACAATCGCTATGTTCATGATGAACGTCCAGCTGCATTCAGCCAGGGCCAGGCAACCTTCAGAAATACTTACAGTACAATTTATAAAAAAAATACTGAGTTAGAACGAGATGATTTCTTCCTGTTTAAGAGGTACGACCTAAATGTCTCAGTAGAGGTAGAAAATACAAGATGCGTTAAGACATGGTCGTGCTAAACCGTAACCTTCAACTGTTTGTGCATAAGAATGTATTGACTCAACACACACTGTGCCGTCGATAAGCAATGCACAACCTTCTTGAACATGGCAAGATCATTTACTTAGTTAAAGTAACAGCGCGGTATAAAAGACACCAAGTAATTACAAAGTATACCCCTGGATAGAAAGTTCGAAAATCTGTTTCTTAAACTTTCATTTCCTTTTCGAGGGACTCTGCACAACATGGATCCGATCATGTTATCTCTTCAAAGTCACGTCGGAACGGAGTGACGTTGTTGGGCGTGACTTACACATTTTCCTGTCATCCAAAATCCAATAGAACGTCGCGTGATTCCAAACACCATGTCTGACATCCTTCAACATCGTTCTTCATTGACAACTTTGTCAGCTGTCACTTTGATTGTTAGCGTCAATTTCCTAGTTTCCCCCACGTTCATGTTTTGTATCAGACGTTATTTGCGCCGAAGGGGAAAAACATTAAATGGAACAATTTCCGCATTTTTCCCCTATTTTCATAAATCAATGTTTCAAAGATGTTGAGTTTCCCCTGGGTACGTCAAGTGGACCTTAAACCGTCATATGTTGCCAAAGACGATTTTTTCATATTCATGGTTTATTTCATTGAAGTTATGAAAAACCTGGAAAAATATTTCTTGTTAGCATCACAATTACATCTGTCATTTCCAACTACGAAAAGAGCGTCAGAATGTCTTGGTATCTTATGGCGTTGAGTGATGTGGTTGACAGTTAATTATTACACTTTTCTCATTCGTTCTTGGTGGGCCGGGAGAACAAGGGCGTGAAGCGTATATAATATTGATGAACACTGGACAGGCCTTTCAAGAGTTAACTTTCAATGCCTTGGGGGTAAGCAACATTCCTAACATCTCAGTCATGGCACTGTCTCGTCGTAATACGTATTCTTAAAACTTCAGAGTAGCATTTTTAAAAATCACAAAAAAGTGTTCCCCCAATTTTGTATACTATCCTTTAACGTGTTCACTTGTTTATTTAATTCATTACTAGTATCAAAAAGTATTATTTTAATCATTTTGGTATTTTATATTATTTTTTTACTAAAAGCCAAGGCAAGTCTGGATCTAAATAAACCAAGTCTAGATTCCTTGATTCCACATATGAAAACAGCAGAAGAGGAAAGGTTCTTTTGAAATAAAAACAATTATTCAAAAACAACTATTTTAAAGAAATGTTTTCATAGACTAAGCGTTAGTCTACTCTGAGACCATTTTATACATATACATTGCAAGTTTACGGATAATACGTTTAAGAGCTATCTGTGAATAGAACATATCATGTATGTATTGAAAAACGTACTTATAGTATGTAAACTGTAGAGCAAGTTGGATGAAAGAATCGGGACTCATTCCTTGGGACTTTGGGAAATCTCGGCCGAAGTTGTCGAACCTTACTATTGTAAGGTCAAGGTCGTCTATTAATCTGGAAAAAACAACCCAAGCATTTAATTAATTCGTTCCAATACATTGTCATCTTCATTTCGTATGAATCTACTTCATATAAAAATGTCGCTGTGGCTGATGAGTAATAATTATTATTTACTTCTTATAAGTATTATTATAATGAGGGACTGTCATTCGCTATACACAGTAGCTTCCCGGGGCCGTGCTAGGATCTGCTTGAGACGGGTTCGAACAATACGTTAATACGATTATAGTCATTGTTCTCAGTCTTCAACTATCTGCAAGCAGCTTACTCGTTGCCCCAAAACACACTGGAACCGACTCGACCTAAATGTGAAACCGAGGCAGACATGGATCAAATGACGAAATCTAATTTGATGCACGACATATATTATGCAGATAAGACGGTTAAGTTTTACACTTTGTTTTGGCTACGAAACTGACCCGAAACGTGAACAAACTTCCGAGTTGCCGCCTCGTATATTATCGTTGGATCACGACGTGTTCTCGCGAGACTTTACGCCTTGATGACAATTACTTTAGACGAGTTAAGAGCGCTCCCTTGGGTAGGAAATAGAAAATTAGGTCTATTTTCTTTTCTTATTAGTTTTGACCGCCGGTGAGATTAGGTATGGATGTCCTCACTTCGCAAGATTGGAGTATCGAAATTGAGCTCGTTTAAAGGGCAAATCTTCGGCAATACACCAAATTACTTGCCTGTGGCCACTTTTAATGGAAAATTGCTTGCCCCGGTCCTTATATCAGGGGCAGTTGATTAATTATGCACCGGTTTTCGGGGAATAAGCCAATTTGTTCCCGTGTTACAAACGAGGTAGGCCTTTATGAGAGTTATAAGGCATTTTATTTGATTTCATAGGAAAAAGAGTCCCACTATCGCCTTTGATCTGGTCTCGACCTCCGTCATAAGGCATCCGTGTCGCTCTTTAGACTGGGGAGGTAAAATCGATGGTGCCAATCTGAAAACGAGGCGTCCCGTCTAATTGGATTTGACTCGAATGGCCCCCATAAGACTCCGGACTCTTATCGACTGATCGCTGGTAGAGGGGGGAGGGATTGGGTAGAGTGGGGCAAAGAAACGGCCCACTATTGAATAAGGGGGCCAATTCGGAGACTGTTTAGTTTGTAAATATTGACGGAAGAAATTCTCGAGTTTGTTGGATTAGGAATAGTGCGTGAGACATGGCAAGAGTGTTGCCGACTCACCGGAAGTAACTCAATAGCGTATACCTCACAGAAATGTCCGCTACATCTAATTCGATCTCGAACAGCGTCAATGAAATTTCTCAGCCTCGTTTCGGAGAAAATGTGATTGAGTCTTTTACAGTTTGATTTGTCATTCGTTGGCAAATATTTCATGAACTAAGTTTGACTTGACATTTCCAAATTTAGAGATGATATAAAACACTCTTAACATTTCCATTCCGTGACTCTGTCGTCCGGTCAGAAATCTGGCGTATTCATAATTTTTTAATTCAAATTGACAAATCGAACCAAATTCCACAACAAGCATACCACATTAAACACCAATCTTTTAATTTTCTCCAAAATGCCATTCAGCCGAAAAAAGTAAGGTTTGCCGGATTAACTATAGAATGAATCATAAACTGGCATTAGCCATCAGCCATCAGCACCGTAAAGAGTGAGAAACATGCGGTCGAACTCCAAGTCCGCGAGACCAGACAGTTTCCATTAAAGTTCCAGACAAACGCAAACGAGGCTGAGAATGACGTCACAGGGGTGTGATTAGACTGTTTACACCTCTCCAGCCAGAGATCGATAGTGAAACGAACTATGAGAACGGACCATGTGCCTATCATTAATCCCGAGACGATTTACATCGTTAAATGCATTCTGCCCATTAGCGCCCTAATAAAGTTATACCTTCCATCCGTGGGGCCCCCAAGGGCCCTAGTTAAGGAGGAGGGATGTCATTTATTCAGAAGAACACTCGTTTGACTTGGCACGGTAACTGTAAATCACCTATCAGTGAAAAAGGTCTTAAAGGACAGGGATGCTTGATTAACACCGGCAGAAAATATATCATGTCCAGCTGCCCGGGGAACACGATTGAGACAAACTGAGAGGCATGCTAAATACCTTGTACAAATATGCGCAGTTGCTTCATCGACTGAATTGACAGAGGACTATGTGATGTGTACTATAAATAGTGTAGAGTGATCTTCTGGCAGACTTTACTAGATTAATGACTTTAAGGGAACATCCTCATCACTCCTTACATCATGCTGCAGTGAACCAAATGTTTTCCCTGTTTTTTTACCAAATACAGGACGCGTCAGAAGTATCCCCCGTGTACTATTTACATTTACTGTATTACTATTTGATACTTATGCTGTAGATATATTTTCGTTTACTTCCTATCACAACCAAGTAACTTGACGAAAACTGCATATCGTTCTAGCATGTTTCATGATATTCTTCATGTGTATTTCAACTTGCACACAGGGCACTGATTATATAGAGACAATATCTCACACGGGGCACTGATTATATAGGGACAATATCTCATACAGGTAACTGAGTATATAGAGACAATATCTCACACAGGACACTGATTATATAGAGACAATGTCTCACACAGGGCACTGATTATATAGAGACAATGTCTCACACAGGGCACTAATTATATAGAGACAATATCTCACAAAGGGCACTGATTATATAGAGACAATGTCTCACACAAGGCACTGATTAAATAGAGACAATTTCTCATACAGGACACTGATTATATAGAGACAATGACTCACATAGGGCACTGATTATATAGAGGCAATAATCTCACACAGGGCACTGATTATATAGAGACAATATCTCATACAGGGCACTGATTATACAGAGACAATGTCTCACACAGGGCACTGATTATACAGAGACAATGTCTCACACAGGGCACTGATTATATAGAGACAATATCTCACACAGGGCACTGATTATATAGAGACAATGTCTCACACAAGACACTGATTATAAAGAGACAATATCTTACACAGGGCACTGATTATATAGAGACAATATCTCATACATTGCACTGATTATATAGAGACAATATCTCATACAATGCACTGATTATATAGAGACAATCTCTCATACAGGGCACTGATTATATAGAGACAATATCTCACACAGGGCACTGATTATATAGAGACAATATCTCATTCAGGGCACTGATTATATAGAGACAATATCTCATACAGGGCACTGATTATATAGAGACAATATCTCATACAGGGCACTGATTATATAGAGACAATATCTCACACAGGGCACTGATTACATAGAGACAAAATCTCATACAGGGCACTAATTATATAGAGACAATATCTCATTTAGGGCACTGATTATATAGAGACAATATCTCACACAGGGCTCTGCTTATATAGAGACAATATCTCACACAGGGCACTGATTATATAGAGACAATATCTCATACAGGGCACTGATTATATAGAGACAATATCTCATTCAGGGCACTGATTATATAGAGACAATATCTCATTCAGGGCACTGATTATATAGAGACATTATCTCACACAGGGCACTGATTATATAGAGACAATATCTCATTTAGGGCACTTATTATATAGAGACAATATCTCACACAGGTAACTGAATGCTTTGTGCAGACATCGATATCTTCATAGACTGTGAGAAATGTGCTACTCACCCGTCTATATACTCATTTGCCTTTTCGATGTCTTTAACCGTCTCTGATGTAATTGTCCAGGATAGTTTTCTTGGTACTAATGCATTACGTATAGAACTTTGAGAGAAAGATCTTTGTCTCAGTTTGGCATCCTCTCTGCGAAGAAACGGGACGAGAACTGACATGTATGGTTGAGATGTTAGAAAGCAAATATATAAACTAGGAAACGTATGTGATGAAAGCATACATTAGAAACTGTATTTAAATAAAAAAAATATAGAAATCTGAAGATTACAGAATACCAACTCAGAGTTAGCAGATCAATCAAGGATGCACGTCTCCAACTGGCAAAAGACTGAAATTTCTAGAGGCAAACTTGGTATGGCTTCTATTCATTTGAAGGTTTGATTCGAGGCCATTAAGTGAAATAGTGGGCACTTGGCATGGTCATATGGTGAAATCAAATAGAATTTACGCCACAGGTACATTTTTGTTTGTACCCACATGATTGACAGATGTGTTGTTAACTCCACCACACACTGTTCACCTGTAAAACGGTAAGGACATGTACTTACATATACTTTAAGGAATGCTCCACGAGCTGGCCAACAGCAATACCCTCTGCCACTGAATGTTCATAGTTCAAGCCGGACACACCATCCTCGGACACTATAAACTAGAAACAGAACGCGGATGCCATTTGTTTCACAATTAGACAGAACATCCACTTACTTTGACCTGTTGATCACGTTGTCACATATCCGTATAAAACACTCCCCTCTAACAGTGAATTGGTCCTATGTTAGATTTGACAAAGAGGATCGGGTGGTCAGACTCAGTGACTTGGCTGGATGGACTGTGATTTTACCCTGGTGTGGTTCGTGGTTAATTGTTTTCTGGCACGTGTTTGTCGGGTCTAGACTCCATAACTTACAACTTCGTCTCACGAACGCTACATATGTATTGTTTTATTTGTTTATTTCTCACCTGCATAGTTTTGTCGAACCACCGATTGGCAGTGTTGGCCCATGAGCCCTGCCCGTGCAGCATGTGCAGGGCGAGGCAGGTCGTGTCGATCTTTAGGGTGTCGGGGGATGGGCATGTCGGCTTGTCAAGGCAGAGGATCAAGATGGAATTTTCTATAGCGTCGAGAGAGTCTCGGTTGATCGGGTCTTAAAAAGATGAAACATGTCATGATGTATTGAATGATAATATCCATGTTTCCGTGAACATAACTGTTGAGTGGGTTCAATATATAAGGCTGTCAACTAGCAAGGTGGGTTTTACATGAGAACAAAGACGTTGACTATCAGTATTGTTTCACATTGTATTACACATATATATCTATTGTCTAGCACTATTGATAGTTTGATTTTTTATCGACTTAGTGTCACAGGGAGAGATGCAATGCATCAATAGTTTGAACTATTCAACGCTATTTGAGACACACCTCAAATCACCCCCAGTTTCGTAAGAGCGGGGGAAACCCTTATATTGTGTACATATATGCAGTCGGGACCACACGTGACCGACAGCCTCCAGAAAGCAATGTTCAGCCCTATAAGAACTGTAGTTGTGACTGTCTCCAGACAGTCATGTCCGGCCCCATAACAACTGTAGTTGTGACTGTCTCCAGAAAGCCGTGTTCAGCCCTATAACAACTGTAGTTGTGACTGTCTCCAGACAGCCGTGTTCAGCCCTATAACAACTGTAGTTGTGACTGTCTCCAGACAGCCGTGTTCAGCCCTATAACAACTGTAGTTGTGACTGTCTACAGACAGCTCTGTTGACCCCTATAACTATAATTAGCACTGTATCCAGACAGCCGTGTTCAGCCCTATAACAACTGTAGTTGTGACTGTCTCCAGACAGTCATGTTCAGCCCTGTAACAACTGTAGTTGTGACTGTCTCCAGACAGCCATGTTCAGCCCTATAACAACTGTAGTTGTGACTGTCTACAGACAGCCATGTTCAGCCCTATAACAACTGTAGTTGTGACTGTCTACAGACAGCCATGTTCAGCCCTATAACAACTGTAGTTGTGACTGTCTCCAGAAAGCCGTGTTCAGCCCCATAACAACTGTAGTTGTGACTGTCTCCAGACAGCCGTGTTCAGCCCTATAACAACTGTAGTTGTGACTGTCTACAGACAGCTGTGTTGACCCCTATAACTATAATTAGCACTGTATCCAGACAGCCGTGTTCAGCCCTATAACAACTGTAGTTGTGACTGTCTCCAGACAGCCGTGTTCAGCCCTATAACAACTGTAGTTGTGACTGTCTACAGACAGCTGTGTTGACCCCTATAACTATAATTAGCACTGTATCCAGACAGCCGTGTTCAGCCCTATAACAACTGTAGTTGTGACTGTCTCCAGACAGTCATGTTCAGCCCTGTAACAACTGTAGTTGTGACTGTCTCCAGACAGCCATGTTCAGCCCTATAACAACTGTAGTTGTGACTGTCTACAGACAGCCATGTTCAGCCCTATAACAACTGTAGTTGTGACTGTCTACAGACAGCCATGTTCAGCCCTATAACAACTGTAGTTGTGACTGTCTCCAGAAAGCCGTGTTCAGCCCCATAACAACGGTAGTTGTGACTGTCTCCAGACAGCCGTGTTCAGCCCTATAACAACTGTAGTTGTGACTGTCTACAGACAGCTGTGTTGACCCCTATAACTATAATTAGCACTGTATCCAGACAGCCGTGTTCAGCCCTATAACAACTGTAGTTGTGACTGTCTCCAGACAGCCATGTTCAGCCCTATAACAACTGTAGTTGTGACTGTCTCCAGACAGCCATGTTCAGCCCTATAACAACTGTAGTTGTGACTGTCTACAGACAGTCATGTTCAGCCCCATAACAACTGTAGTTGTGACTGTCTACAGACAGCTGTGTTGACCCCTATAACTATAATTAGCACTGTATCCAGACAGCCGTGTTCAGCCCCATAACAACTGTAGTTGTGACTGTCTACAGACAGCTGTGTTGACCCCTATAACTATAATTAGCACTGTATCCAAACAGCCGTGTTCAGCCCTATAACAACTGTAGTTGTGACTGTCTCCAGACAGCCATGTTCAGCCCTATAACAACTGTAGTTGTGACTGTCTCCAGACAGCCGTGTTCAGCCCTATAACAACTGTAGTTGTGACTGTCTCCAGACAGCCATGTTCAGCCCTATAACAACTGTAGTTGTGACTGTCTACAGACAGTCATGTTCAGCCCCATAATAACTGTAGTTGTGACTGTCTCCAGACAGCCGTGTTCAGCCCTATAACAACTGTAGTTGTGACTGTCTCCAGACAGCCATGTTCAGCCCTATAACAACTGTAGTTGTGACTGTCTACAGACAGTCATGTTCAGCCCCATAACAACTGTAGTTGTGACTGTCTCCAGAAAGCCATGTTCAGCCCTATAACAACTGTAGTTGTGACTGTCTCCAGACAGCCGTGTTCAGCCCTATAACAACTGTAGTTGTGACTGTCTCCAGACAGCCATGTTCAGCCCTATAACAACTGTAGTTGTGACTGTCTACAGACAGTCATGTTCAGCCCTATAACAACTGTAGTTGTGACTGTCTCCAGACAGCCATGTTCAGCCCTATAACAACTGTAGTTGTGACTGTCTACAGACAGCCATGTTCAGCCCTATAACAACTGTAGTTGTGACTGTCTCCAGACAGCCGTGTTCAGCCCCATAACAACTGTAGTTGTGACTGTCTCCAGACAGCCGTGTTCAGCCCTATAACAACTGTAGTTGTGACTGTCTACAGACAGCTGTGTTGACCCCTATAACTATAATTAGCACTGTATCCAGACAGCCGTGTTCAGCCCTATAACAACTGTAGTTGTGACTGTCTCCAGACAGCCATGTTCAGCCCTATAACAACTGTAGTTGTGACTGTCTACAGACAGCTGTGTTGACCCCTATAACTATAATTAGCACTGTATCCAGACAGCCATGTTCAGCCCTATAACAACTGTAGTTGTGACTGTCTCCAGACAGCCGTGTTCAGCCCTATAACAACTGTAGTTGTGACTGTCTCCAGACAGCCATGTTCAGCCTTATAACAACTGTAGTTGTGACTGTCTACAGACAGCTGTGTTGACCCCTATAACTATAATTAGCACTGTATCCAGACAGCCGTGTTCAGCCCTATAACAACTGTAGTTGTCACTGTCTCCAGACACCCGTGTTCAGCCCCATAACAACTGTAGTTGTGACTGTCTCCAGACAGCCGTGTTCAGCCCTATAACAACTGTAGTTGTGACTGTCTACAGACAGCCATGTTCAGCCCTATAACAACTGTAGTTGTGACTGTCTCCAGACAGCCGTGTTCAGCCCTATAACAACTGTAGTTGTGACTGTCTCCAGACAGCCATGTTCAGCCCTATAACAACTGTAGTTGTGACTGTCTCCAGACAGTCATGTTCAGTCCCATAACAACTGTAGTTGTGACTGTCTCCAGACAGCCGTGTTCAGCACTATAACAACTGTAGTTGTGACTGTCTACAGACAGCTGTGTTGACCCCTATAACTATAATTAGCACTGTATCCAGACAGCCGTGTTCAGCCCTATAACAACTGTAGTTGTGACTGTCTCCAGACAGCCATGTTCAGCCCTATAACAACTGTAGTTGTGACTGTCTCCAGACACCCGTGTTCAGCCCTATAACAACTGTAGTTGTGACTGTCTACAGACAGCCATGTTCAGCCCTATAACAACTGTAGTTGTGACTGTCTCCAGACAGTCGTGTTCAGCCCTATAACAACTGTAGTTGTGACTGTCTCCAGACAGTCATGTTCAGCCCCATAACAACTGTAGTTGTGACTGTCTCCAGACAGCCGCGTTCAGCCCTATAACAACTGTAGTTGTGACTGTCTACAGACAGCCGTGTTCAGCCCTATAACAACTGTAGTTGTCACTGTCTCCAGACAGCCATGTTCAGCCCCATAACAACTGTAGTTGTGACTGTCTCCAGACACCCGTGTTCAGCCCCATAACAACTGTAGTTGTGACTGTCTCCAGACAGCCGTGTTCAGCCCTATAACAACTGTAGTTGTGACTGTCTACAGACAGCCATGTTCAGCCCTATAACAACTGTAGTTGTGACTGTCTCCAGACAGCCGTGTTCAGCCCTATAACAACTGTAGTTGTGACTGTCTCCAGACAGCCATGTTCAGCCCTATAACAACTGTAGTTGTGACTGTCTCCAGACAGCCATGTTCAGCCCTATAACAACTGTAGTTGTGACTGTCTACAGACAGCTGTGTTGACCCCTATAACTATAATTAGCACTGTATCCAGACAGCCGTGTTCAGCCCTATAACAACTGTAGTTGTGACTGTCTACAGACAGCCATGTTCAGCCCTATAACAACTGTAGTTGTGACTGTCTCCAGACACCCGTGTTCAGCCCTATAACAACTGTAGTTGTGACTGTCTACAGACAGCCATGTTCAGCCCTATAACAACTGTAGTTGTGACTGTCTCCAGACAGCCGTGTTCAGCCCTATAACAACTGTAGTTGTCACTGTCTCCAGACAGCCATGTTCAGCCCCATAACAACTGTAGTTGTGACTGTCTCCAGACACCCGTGTTCAGCCCCATAACAACTGTAGTTGTGACTGTCTCCAGACAGCCGTGTTCAGCCCTATAACAACTGTAGTTGTGACTGTCTACAGACAGCCATGTTCAGCCCTATAACAACTGTAGTTGTGACTGTCTACAGACAGCCATGTTCAGCCCTATAACAACTGTAGTTGTGACTGTCTCCAGACAGCCGTGTTCAGCCCTATAACAACTGTAGTTGTGACTGTCTCCAGACAGCCGTGTTCAGCCCTATAACAACTGTAGTTGTGACTGTCTCCAGACAGCCATGTTCAGCCCTATAACAACTGTAGTTGTGACTGTCTCCAGACAGCCATGTTCAGCCCTATAACAACTGTAGTTGTGACTGTCTACAGACAGCTGTGTTGACCCCTATAACTATAATTAGCACTGTATCCAGACAGCCGTGTTCAGCCCTATAACAACTGTAGTTGTGACTGTCTACAGACAGTCATGTTCAGCCCTATAACAACTGTAGTTGTGACTGTCTCCAGACACCCGTGTTCAGCCCTATAACAACTGTAGTTGTGACTGTCTACAGACAGCCATGTTCAGCCCTATAACAACTGTAGTTGTGACTGTCTCCAGACAGTCGTGTTCAGCCCTATAACAACTGTGGTTGTGACTGTCTCCAGACAGTCATGTTCAGCCCCATAACAACTGTAGTTGTGACTGTCTCCAGACAGCCGCGTTCAGCCCTATAACAACTGTAGTTGTGACTGTCTACAGACAGCCGTGTTCAGCCCTATAACAACTGTAGTTGTGACTGTCTCCAGACAGCCATGTTCAGCCCTATAACAACTGTAGTTGTGACTGTCTCCAGACAGTCATGTTCAGCCCCATAACAACTGTAGTTGTGACTGTCTCCAGACAGCCGCGTTCAGCCCTATAACAACTGTAGTTGTGACTGTCTACAGACAGCCGTGTTCAGCCCTATAACAACTGTAGTTGTGACTGTCTCCAGACAGTCATGTTCAGCCCTATAACAACTGTGGTTGTGACTGTCTCCAAACAGCCATGTTCAGCCCCATAACAACTGTAGTTGTGACTGTCTCCAGACAGCCGTGTTCAGCCCTATAACAACTGTAGTTGTCACTGTCTCCAGACAGCCATGTTCAGCCCTATAACAACTGTAGTTGTGACTGTCTCCAGACAGCCGTGTTGAACCCTATAACTATAATTAGCACTGTCTCCAGACATCAGCATGCGATCGACGATATTTGAAAGGAAACGTATTTCAAGTGTATTGCTTTAGATGACCATTTTAGACTTTAAGAAGCAATGTAGGATAATGTGACTATCATTTCCTCGACTTACCCATCAGTAATCTGTTTCTAGCTGCCGCCCATTTGTCACGTGTCTGTGACGTCAGAATGCCAACCGGCGGGGCGTTGGTGGAATCTGCATCTGCGAGCCTCGCTATCAACTCAAGCTGCCTGTATATCTCAGTTTCAGAGAGATTGCCTGTTTCAGTGGCAACTTCCATGACAAAAAACTGAAACAACATCCCGTATTCCAAAATGAAACTCAAGACAATCAAAGGTGGAAGATAACAGCGTTCAAATCCATATTGTTAACTTGTACGTTTTATACAGTACAGTATCTATTGTCCCTTTGCAATTCCGAAACCAGGTGAGACCCTTGTATGTGCTTTCGATTAAGATAGAGCGTCACCGTCGTCTATCGGTAGAACGTCAGTACGCTGTGTCTGAGAGGGGTCTCCATGTTAAACTTTGGCACGGTATCTCAGTGTGCTAGCACTATAACATCGGCATTAGTCCCGACAAGTACAACTAGCCACACGCACGCACGCACGCACGCACGCGCGCACACACACACACACACACACACACACGCACACGCACGGACACACACACACATTGTTATTGTTTACTAGATGAGCTGATGGTCATCAAGCCCCGAGAGCGTGAATTGTGAATTGACATCAATCACTGGTTTGTCTGTCCCAGAGATGATTACTAAATTTTGCGACAGATGAATAAATATTTACTGTACATACATTGTACATTAAAAACAACATAATAGTATTATGGAAACTTAAGATATCGTCTGCTGCATATTATCGATACTTAAGGGTAATGGTTTTTACCTGATTTTTACACACTACAATGATTTTGTCCGTGCAATCGCCCGTGTCTGTTATCTGCGAGTCCTTTTTCAGCCCCGGGGCCCGATACGAGGTGAAGATGCGGTAGTGCTGCTCCATACACATCGGTTGACCCTTCTCTTTATGGCGAGCTCGCTCTATTGGAAGTGCCCGTCTGACAAACAAGTTTGTAATAGGTATTCAGACTAACCTCACATCAGGAGTTCGATGGGGTGGGGGAGTGGGGATGGTGGTTTGGGGTATGTGTGGGATGGTGGGGTGTTCGGGTGGTGTGGTTGCAGGGTATGGGTGTGTGGGACTGTGGGGTGTGGAGTGCAGGGTGTATTTGCGTTGGTGTGTGGGTTTTGTATTTTTGGGTGTGGGTACAATATACCCAAGTCACGAAATTAACAAAAATACACTAATGTTGACAAAGTAACTATCATTTATAAATCTATTGAATCTTATGTAGAATGCTGAATTACTCCATCTGAAAAATGAAAGGGAACAATTCGAAGAAAGAAATCCCATGAAGTCCTGGAACCACAGGCATAACCAAGGGCGCTTTGCCCAGGATAGACAGAAGCTTCCCAAACAACTGCTCATGACCAGGATAGACAGAAGCTTCCCAACCAACTGCTCATGACCAGGATAGACAGAAACTTCCCCACCAACTGCTCATGACCAGGATAGACAGAAGCTTCCCCACCAACTGCCCATGACCAGGATAGACAGAAACTTCCCCACCAACTGCTCATGACCAGTATAGACAGAAACTTCCCAACCAACTGCTCATGACCAGGATAGACAGAAACTTCCCCACCAACTGCTCATGACCAGGATAGACAGAAACTTCCCCACCAACTGCTCATGACCAGGATAGACAGAAACTTCCCCACCAACTGCTCATGACCAGGATAGACAGAAGCTTCCCCACCAACTGCCCATGACCAGGATAGACAGAAACTTCCCAAACAACTGCTCATGACCAGGATAGACAGAAACTTCCCAAACAACTGCTCATGACCAGGATAGACAGAAACTTCCCAAACAACTGCTCATGACCAGGATAGACAGAAACTTCCCCACCAACTGCTCGTGACCAGGATAGACAGAAACTTCCCCACCAACTGCTCATGACCAGGATAGACAGAAACTTCCCCACCAACTGCTCATGATCAGGATAGACAGAAGCTTCCCCACCAACTGCTAAACCAGCGCCTTTCTCACGCCTATCTTAAATTTAAGTCCCTAACAATGATATCCAATATAAAGCAAGGCTCTTAACATGACAAAACACAGAAAAACACAGGGTTTGCGGGTATGATCGGACCATAGAAATACACTAATAATTTGATACTCAAACCCAATGGCTATCATTGTATAGCCAGTTTCACTGACAGTGTGAAGGAAGAGAGCCTGGCTCGGAAATGTGTATAAGTAATTTCCATGAACTATTCATTTGGAGGCCACGTGATACGAGTGATAAAGTGAAGGCCCCGAGACCTTGACCCTGCCCATGCCATGCTCACAACCATGTAGCCTGAAGTCACTTTCTGTAACATCCTAAATAGTTCATGAATCATCGATAGAAACTATCTTTTTCTCTTTTTATCACATGTCTGAATCCTATTTTCTAACTATTTTTTTCGAAAAATATATTTAAATATATCAAATGAATATATATTGAAAAAACCGTCACTTATATTTTGCTATAAACAGCTTGAGTATGTTCATTATCTATGAATGTGTGACCTTTCATCGTATAAATCTTTCACAAAAGTGTTCCCAATTGTATTCCAACCTGTTTTATAATATTTCTCATAATCGTCATCCGTTTCCACAGTCTCTGCTCAGTTTCTATTTCACTTGACATGAACTGCCGGACAAACGGGCGTATACGCTTATCTTTAATGGTGGCTAATACTGAAACAACCATGAAATAGTTATTCGATGGTGATGTATTTGACATGGGTATCCAAATAGGTGTGTTTTGGACCTTCAGTCTGCAGTGTTTCAGCGACTGTGTTCAGAAAAGTAATGTTTTGATAACTTATGTCATTATTTGATCAAATTAAATGTTCAAGTCTCTACTTTCTTTTGCCCGGCAGTTTAGTGTGAATTCAAGCAGTTTCTATAAGCACGTGATATTGCAAGTGTACTAATGTTGCGTTTTTCCTGATTCGGTTCCCGCTTGTACGTTTTACATGATAACACACTATGCATTTTAATAGCATATTTCGGGAACATATAGATATATTATGTCTTTAATTATGAATTTTGTTTAATTAAATTCCAAGTGCTCTATATACTTTGCTCATTTACAATTTTAATCGCATGAGCCATATGAATCAGTGACAATATTTGAATTGAATTTAATATAAAAAACAAACATATCACGAAATTGTCGCATTTGCTGCCGCCATGATCAATGCTCTAGAATGCAGGGGCGCAAGTAATGTCGAGTAGTAAAATGTCTTGGCGAAGATTGGTACCATTTGTCTTTGAAAAGGCACTTACTATAGAATATTTAATGGCATATTTGGAAAGCTACTATTCACACTTACACTGTATGCCTGTGTTTAACAACGCCTCTGCGATGAGAAATATATCAAGCGTAGTATATATGCTGCTAGAAAGCTAATGTATCATTATTGTCGATGTCTCAGTATATGGCCATGGCGCTGAAGGCATGGGGGTAATATTATAGTTGAGATGACCAACACATCAGTGATGACCATGGTCAGTGCTGACCACTAGCTGCGCATACCAAGTTATGGAAATGAGTGTCCGCCGAATCGGCAATGAACCATTATCCACGATGATAAGACGGTTGAACATCTTGTTAGAGATTTATGTATATTTCATAGAATCGTGATTTAATTAAAAACGGCCTTATTCCAATTAATGATGATTATATGGAGATCAAAGGCGCCGCTGTGTTTTATTTCAGAAGGTCGGATGTCAGTAGCTTGACAAGATATTCACCGCTGATTCTCTTCTGTTTTAATTAAATTAACTCACCTTATAGCCGGAGATAGCGGGGTTGTTTATTGAATAAATCCACACCAAACAAAAAACGTAGGCTTTGTATTTATGTCCGTTTTCTGAGACAGATTCGACCGCGGAAATCTTTGACGTACAGCAAAATCTGAAGGAACTGTTTTATTATTCTAATAAAATAGTTTCTCTGAAAAACGCTTGATCGCCAGAAACTAAACATCAAAACTCATGCAATCTACATATGTGGCTCAAATTAGACGGAAGCGAATGAGACAAGGTCCATGACATTTTCATAGAGAAGCACGCAACAACAAATGCCTAAATTTGGAAGAGGATCCCTGAATATATATAGAGATGTTACCTGGTAGGATACATTGAACAATATTCAAACCATTAATGTGAAAATTACGTTATGAACAAACAGTAAACTAGCTTGACGTTCATGGAATTTGCGGCAAAGCTTTTTATTTTCTCCCAAAATGGCATCCCTACCCTGATACGCTTGATAGAAACTTGTAACTGGCCCCAACTATGCACAACTCATGTCAACCCTACCCCACACACTTAGTATATAACTTGTCACAATCTGGCACAACACAGGCACGCCCTACCCCCACATACTTCATATATAACTTGTCACAACCTGGCACAACACATGCACGCTCTACCCCCACACACTTAGTATATAACTTGTCACAATCTGGCACAACACATGCACGCTCTACCCCCACACACTTAGTATATAACTTGTCACAATCTGGCACAACACATGCAAGCTCTACCCCCACACTTAGTATATAACTTGTCACAATCTGGCACAACACATGCACGCTCTACCCCCACACACTTAGTATATAACTTGTCACAATCTGGCACAACACATGCACGCTCTACCCCCACACACTTAGTATATAACTTGTCACAATCTGGCACAACACATGCAAGCTCTACCCCCACACTTAGTATATAACTTGGCACAATCTGGCACAACACATGCACACTCTACCCAAACATACTTGATATACAACCTGGCACAACACATGCACGCTCTACCCACACATACTTGATATACAACCTGGCACAACCTGCCACAACACATGCACGCTCTACCCACACATACTTGTTATATAACTTTTCACAACCTGGCACAACACATGCACGCGCTACCCACACATACTTGATATATAACTTGTCACAACCTGGCACAAAGCACGCTCTACCCCAACATACTGGATATACAACCTGGCACAACACATGCACGCTCTACCCACACATACTTGATATACAACCTGGCACAACCTGCCACAACACATGCACGCTCTACCCACACATACTTGATATACAACCTGGCACAACCTGCCACAACACATGCACGCTCTATCCACACATACTTGATATATGACTTGTCACAACCTGGCACAACACATGCACGCTCTACCCACACATACTACCATATATAATTTGTCACAACCTGGCACAACACATGTACACTCTACCCCCACATACTTCATATATAACTTGTATGTGTTGGTAGAGCGTGCATGTGTTGTGCCAGGTTGTGCCAGGTTGTATATCAAGTATGTGTGGGTAGAGGGTGCATGTGTTGTGCCAGGTTGTATATCAAGTATGTGTGGGTAGAGCGTGCATGTGTTGTGCCAGGTTGTATATCAAGTATGTGTGGGTATAGCGTGCATATGTTGTGCCAGGTTGTATATCAAGTATGTGTGGGTAGAGCGTGCATGTGTTGTGGCAGGTTGTGCCAGGTTGTATATCAAGTATGTGTGGGTAGAGCGTGCATGTGTTGTGCAAGGTTGTATATCAAGTATGTGTGGGTAGAGCGTGCATGTGTTGTGCCAGGTTGTGCCAAGTTATATACTAAGTGTGGGGGTAGAGCTTGCATGTGTTGTGCCAGATTGTGACAAGTTATATACTAAGTGTGTGGGGGTAGAGCGTGCATGTGTTGTGCCAGGTTGTGACAAGTTATATATGAAGTATGTGTGGGTAGAGCGTGCATGTGTTGTGCCAGGTTGTGACAAGTTATATATGACGTATGTGTGGGTAGAACGTGCATGTGTTGTGCCTGGTTGTGACAAGTTATATATGACGTATGTGTGGGAAGAGCGTGCATGTGCTGTGCCAGATTGTGCCAGGTTGTATATCAAGTATGTGTGGGTAGAGCGTGCATGTGTTGTATATCAAGTATGCATGTGTTGTGCCAGGTTGTGACAAGTTATAAATCAAGTATGTGTGGGTAGAGCGTGCATGTGTTGTGCAAGGTTGTGACAAGTTATATATCAAGTATGTGTGGGTAGAGCGTGCATGTGTTGTGCAAGGTTGTATATCAAGTATGTTGGGGTAGCGCGTGCATGTGTTGTGCCAGGTTGTGACAAGTTATATATCAAGTATGTGTGGGTAGAGCGTGCATGTGTTGTGCCAGATTGTGACAAGTTATATATGAAGTATGTGTGGGTAGAGCGTGCATGTGTTGTGCCAGATTGTGACAAGTTATATACTAAGTGTGTGGGGGTAGAGCGTGCATGTGTTGTGCCAGGTTGTGACAAGTTATATATCAAGTATGTGTGGGTAGAGCGTGCATGTGTTGTGCCAGGTTGTGACAAGTTATATATGAAGTATGAATGGGTAGAGCGTGCATGTGTTGTGCCAGATAGTGACAAGTTATATACTAAGTGTGTGGGGGTAGAGCGTGCATGTGTTGTGCCAGGTTGTGACAAGTTATATATCAAGTATGTGTGGGTAGAGCGTGCCTGTGTTGTGCCAGGTTGTGACAAGTTATATATGAAGTATGTGTGGGTAGAGTGTGCATGTGTTGTGCCAGATTGTGACAAGTTATATATCAAGAATGTGTGGGTAGAGCGTGCATGTGTTGTGCCAGGTTGTATATCAAGTATGTTTGGGTAGCGCGTGCATGTGTTGTGCCAGGTTGTGACAAGTTATATATCAAGTATCTGTGGGTAGAGCGTGCATGTGTTGTGCCAGGTTGTGACAAGTTATATATGAAGTATGTGTGGGTAGAGCGTGCATGTGTTGTGCCAGATTGTGACAAGTTATATACTAAGTGTGTGGGGGTAGAGTGTGCATGTGTTGTGCCAGGTTGTGACAAGTTATATATCAAGTATGTGTGGGTAGAGCGTGCATGTGTTGTGCCAGGTTGTGACAAGTTATATATGAAGTATGTGTGGGTAGAGCGTGCATGTGTTGTGCCAGGTTGTATATCAAGTATGTTGGGGTAGCGCGTGCACGTGTTGTGCCAGGTTGTGACAAGTTATATATCAAGTATCTGTGGGTAGAGCGTGCATGTGTTGTGCCAGGTTGTGACAAGTTATATATGAAGTATGTGTGGGTAGAGCGTGCATATGTTGTGCCAGGTTGTATATCAAGTATGTTGGGGTAGCGCGTGCATGTGTTGTGCCAGGTTGTGACAAGTTATATATGACGTATGTGTGGGTAAAACGTGCATGTGTTGTGCCAGATTGTGACAAGTTATATATGACGTATGTGTGGGTAGAGTGTGCATGTGTTGTGCCAGGTTGTGACAAGTTATATATCAAGTATGAATGGGTAGAGCGTGCATGTGTTGTGCCAGATTGTGACAAGTTATATATCAAGTATGTGTGGGTAGAGCGTGCATGTGTTGTGCCAGGTTGTGACAAGTTATATATCAAGTATGTCGGGGTAGAGCGTGCCTGTGTTGTATATCAAGTATGTGTGGGAAGAGTGTGCATGTGTTGTGCCAGGTTGTGACAAGTTATATATCAAGTATGTGGGGGTAGAGCGAGCATGTGTTGTGCCAGGTTGTATATCTAGATTGTGTGGGTAGAGCGTGCATGTGTTGTGCCAGGTTGTATATCAAGTATGTGTGGGTAGAGCGTGCATGTGTTGTGCAAGGTTGTATATCAAGTATGTGTGGGTAGAGCGTGCATGTGTTGTGCCAGGTTGTGACAAGTTATATATGAAGTATGTGTGGGTAGAGCGTGCTTTATGCCGGGTTGTGTCAAGTTATATATGAAGTATGTGTGGGTAGAGTGTGCATGTGTTGTGCCAGGTTGTGACAAGTTATATATCAAGTATGTGTGGGTAGAGCGTGCATGTGTTGTGCCAGGTTGTGACAAGTTATATATCAAGTATGTGTGGGTAGAGCGTGCATGTGTTGTGCCAGGTTGTGACAAGTTATATATGACGTATGTGTGGGTAAAGCGTGCATGTGTTGTGCCAGATTGTGACAAGTTATATATGACGTATGTGTGGGTAGAGTGTGCATGTGTTGTGCCAGGTTGTGACAAGTTATATATCAAGTATGAATGGGTAGAGCGTGCATGTGTTGTGCCAGATTGTGACAAGTTATATATCAAGTATGTGTGGGTAGAGCGTGCATGTGTTGTGCCAGGTTGTGACAAGTTATATATCAAGTATGTCGGGGTAGAGCGTGCCTGTGTTGTATATCAAGTATGTGTGGGAAGAGTGTGCATGTGTTGTGCCAGGTTGTGACAAGTTATATATCAAGTATGTGGGGGTAGAGCGAGCATGTGTTGTGCCAGGTTGTATATCTAGATTGTGTGGGTAGAGCGTGCATGTGTTGTGCCAGGTTGTATATCAAGTATGTGTGGGTAGAGCGTGCATGTGTTGTGCCAGGTTGTGACAAGTTATATATGAAGTATGTGTGGGTAGAGCGTGCTTTATGCCGGGTTGTGTCAAGTTATATATGAAGTATGTGTGGGTAGAGCGTGCATGTGTTGTGCCAGGTTGTGACAAGTTATATATCAAGTATGTGTGGGTAGAGCGTGCATGTGTTGTGCCAGATTGTGACAAGTTATATATCAAGTATGTGTGGGTAGAGCGTGCATGTGTTGTGCCAGGTTGTGACAAGTAATATATGAAGTATGTGTGGGTAGAGCGTGCATGTGTTGTGCCAGGTTGTGACAAGTTATATATGAAGTATTTGTGGGTAGAGCGTGCATGTGTTGTGCCAGGTTGTGACAAGTTTCATATGAAGTATGTGTGGGTAGAGCGTGCTTTGTGCCGGGTTGTGTCAAGTTATATATGAAGTATGTGGGGGTAGAGCGTGCATGTGTTGTGCCAGATTGTGACAAGTATTATATCAAGTATGTGTTGGTAGATACATAGCTTGATACATAGCTTGATACATAGCTATTACCATCACTGCACAACACATGCACACTCTACCCTCACATACTGATACAAAGCTGGTCACAGCCTGGCACAACACATGCACACTCTACTCACACATATTTGCTCACACACATATCACTAGCTCCACAGGAACATATAACAGGCTATAGACATACACGGAATTCGCATTAAGACAATGTCTGTACATGGACAATTAATGCTTCTCGTTTACAAAGAAAGACGGAGAATTAGAGTACCAATATAAATGTACGACAAACATTTGTATCTTACCTATCAACTTTGATTTTGTAGTCAAGAATCCCGCTTACTAATCGTGATGCATATCTGAAAATACAGAACAAACACTTTACGTCAAATATGAGATTCCTAAATTTCGATTCATGAATTGTTATGTGCATATTAGAGGTAAGATTATCCTCATACAGGGTGCGTTGTGGGAGAAAAGAAGGATTAGACCTATTTATCACAGACGGTTTATTCAGCTGACGTGAGCGGTATGTGAATGACGTACAGGGTCACGTCATCGATTCACATGTTATTATACATACACTGCAAACCAGACTGCCTTTTTTTGACGTCACGATGACGTAGCAGTTTAAGTGAGCATTGCCCAATGGTAACTGTGGATATGTATGATGGTGCTTATCCCCAGTTAAACGAAACACAATCTCGATGTACTATGTGATGCGCCGCACTCAGCAATATTCCAGTCTGTAAATAGGCGAGCCTGAACCAGACAATGCAGTGATTTAAATCGTGCGCATAGATCTAGTACGCAATTGGGATATAATGGCATGAATCAACTAAGTCAGCGAGCCTGACCACCCTATCCTGTTAGTCGCCTCACACGACAAGCATTGGTTGCTGAAGACCAATTCTAACCCGGAATCTTCACGGGACAACATGTCTTACTGATATACGGAACTAGATAAAGCAATATGAGTATTAGACAAACAAGAACTGATTCAAATGTTGGAATGCAATTTTCGCCTTCTCAGAACACATTAAAAAGATGGTACTCTCTAAGTGCATTTTAAGACAATACCGACAAAATCAGGAGGTGCGCAACAGGTTAGCGGTTGGTATCATCGAACTGCCAAGATGCAACACATTTACAACACAATCACAACACAATTACAACACAATTACATGTGTCAAGTGCAACAACACAAGTGAAAACATATCTCACCTCAGCTGTTCTCTCTGGTGATGGAACTTATTTCGGGGAAACACCATGCCCGGGTTGGAGTTGATAGGAAGGGCAAGACGGACCTTCAAGTACATGTCATCCAGCCACCAGTCGTAAGCCTGGACGTAGAATATGTCTAGTCAGAACAGCCTCTGGGCCATGTTAAATATTGGTATGTCACCGCATCACCATCTTTTCTAATGTACTTATTTGTAAGACACATCTTTAATGACTTCTAAGTGCCATTAATAGTTCCCTGCATTCGAAATGCAAAAGCCTTTGAACTCGTTGTAATAGTTTAATTCTCAACGTATTGCCTTTTTTATGTACATGTAAGCAGATGATCATACAATGTTACATCATAACATATATACCCAGTTTTCTTTGTTGTGGTAGGCTTGCATGAGGCAATCCTGTAGCATCTCCCCCTGTCCGCCTGGCTTTCGGAACTCGTCCACGAGGTATTTGGTTTTGGCAAATTGTAGGGGGGTAAGAACAGGCTTCATCACTCCCAGGTATTTGTACAGGGTCGACTGCAGAGGAGGGACAGGCAACTTCGGAAGAGGTTTCTGCAAGTTTGAAATACATACTCTTCAAACATGTACACAAGCAAGTCTTGAAAGTGGTTTGATTGAGTGGTATTTCCCAACTTGGAACTGTATCAAATAAAAAAAAAGCTGCATATCAAAAACACATTTAATGAAGTTAACATTTATATTATATATATATGGCATGTGTTTAATGAGTGACAAAACAATGACAGCCACCGACATCCATGGAGAAGGTACAACAAGCTAGAAATCACTTGTCCTTGTCAGTATCGTCTTTAGTTCAAGAATTCTGTGATCATCATAGATAATGTGTCGTTGATAGAATATATCTCTTTGATAAATGATGCATATTTTCTGTTTGTCCACAATTGTCAATGATGTTATCTTCCAGTGACAAGATAAGAAGTTTTCGTACTGTAATACAATTAGCTGCAGATCCAAATCCATGTAGTAATAGTATTTAGGTACGTGTGCAAGAATGAACACAATTTAGTAAAAGTAAATTGCAGTAGTTATAAAATGTCCGAGTGGATGTAATGAGATACCCCTGGTACTTCCACGTTACGAGAAAGTCTTTGGGTCTAATGGCGTAGCAAAACAAATAACTCTTGAGTCCTTTAAAGCGGAACTGGTAGTGGAGGAGGACTAGACTAGTACATCAAGTGTGCGGTTGGTTACGCTAATGACACAGACACAAATGTCTCAATGTCACACGTGGTACGTACTAACTACATCGTCTGGACCTAAACTGAACATAGTCTCCATTTAATCAAATATGACATAGCTGATACCGACAGTGTTATGCCTTCACATACCGCCATACAAAACGTTGTGTTTGGGGGTATGTAAGTATAACATCGTCACTTACTTTATACGCCCGATCAGGTTTTTTCGCAAAAAGGATTCAGATGCAAAGTATATGAACTTTCTTACAGGGATAAGAATGAGAAATCGTCGCGTTACTTCAACTTGTCACAGCTCGGTGTTACATTAGCACAATTAGATAACGTAAGTGTATGGTATATCTGTGCTCGCGCCTGTGACATCGATCTTACCCCTAGTTTACAACCTGCAAATGGTGCCATTTTGTTTGAATATGCCAAGAAGCCTTGTCCTTTTCGAAATAATGGTAGAGGTGCCTAAATGGTTAACATCTATGGCGTCCTTTAGACTCACAAGAATGTTTTTTAAACTAATTTGTGAAATTTGATATGTGCCGCGACAGTAATTTAATCAACTCTTGTGGTGTCATTAGATTGAACAGAGAATTTGTCTAATTGTATAGTTTGATAAGTTAATTCAATAATCTGTATGAATATTGAAACATTAACGATACACTGACCTACTGGAGTATGTAAAAGTTGCTGCCATAAATTGTTTAAAGTACATATTACATGTAAACCTTGATATGCAATCATAGACAATGTCAGGCAATAATATACAAACAAGAACATTTGGTATCTATGTACAATCTTAATCTACATCCACCGTGACCTTTAGGTGGTGTGCCGTTTCAGACGCTGGGACTCTCATTACGAAAATGACGAACTTCAAAGAATAGATTTGTTAAACGTATATTGGATATCTGTTATCTCCGTCAACGACGCTATGTAGTTTCAGATATATTCTCCGACATGAATATCGATTTCTGTTTGAATAATGAGTAGTTTGATCTGACAGCAACTGACATCAAAGTCATGAATGAAATGAGCATCAATATCTATCTTTACTTGACTTTCTTGCAGTCGGACAAGCGCATTTACCCAGTGCATGAATCATATTCTACATCAATCAATACAAATGCACGATGATGTTTGGAAAGTTGCTTTCATAAGATTCCTTCAATTATACGCTCCGCTATAGGAATCAATACAATAACATTCGTTAATCCAATCTAAACTTTTCGGTTTTCTTAACATCTCCATATCAAATTATTCATTGGATAACTGAGTTTGGAGAGGGTCTATCTGGGCTCATCGTTCTAATTGGCGTCGTTTAGTATTCTGTAATACACTCATTCCTGGTCCTTTCATGCAACATGTGGCTTTCCATAATGGAATATAATCAAAATGAAGTTTACATTACCGCTAATTGAATCTGAGGGTGAAGTAGTTTCGAAATTCAAATAAATCCACATTTTGAAACTTCCAGTTAAATGATATAAAAACGGCAACTACTAACTAATAACCATAGCCATGAACGAATACTAAAACCTAGGAAATGAACATATAGAGTAGGATTTCAAAATTTAATGTAACCATTAGAAAACAACAAAAACTTTCCATAACACAACATCTGGAAACTACAGTTAAGCTCTCGCCCTCCTCGCCGGCCCCCACGTAGGACAGAACAGTTCCTCTTAGTCGTGTATTGATTTTTCAAAACCAACATTTGCTCAATTTTACAGCTGAAGACCTTGCAAAATCTTGTAAGAAGCAAGCGTTCATCTGAAAGGAATACGTCGGAGCTTGGTTCAGGTCTGCCCAAGGCATGAGGCAAACCATCGATTTGGACAGAGCGCTGCAGCCAAGCACACCAAAGTAGTTTCTTGTGTTGAACTTGGGGAAAAAGAAAGTAGGGCCTCCTGACCATTAATCTAGTCTCTGCTAGCCCGCTGACAAGTTTTTCGGGTCGTTGGTCTTGTGGGTTAATAAGATGTTGTTGTAGCTTTGCAGGATTGACAGAGAGTCATGGAAGGTTTTGGATGAATATCAGGTGTAATCTCACATACCAGAGAGAAATTATAAAGTGGAACTTTCATTAAAAGTAATTGACAGTAACCTGTCTTCAGAAGTGACCATGTTTTCACGTACACTGGTTTATGTTTAAGGATCTTGCTGTCAGGGACTCGCTGGCACATTGAATGTAAAAAATATACTTATTTATCAATATCAACAAACTTATATAATCATAAACGAACACACGAACGTGCAACCTTCTTTTTTCGTCAACTACATTGTATATTTGGACAGTTAATACTTAGAAATATGAACACATGTCTTCAGAATTTATATCTCAAAACAATGTGTGTTACATATTGAAAGTAACGTCCATATTAACGAATTATCTCAACCTAAGCTAACACACCAGCACACTTCGATTATTCCGATTAAGCCTGACTTGTCGCATTATCTCCCTTGGGTGACCACAAATACAGTCTGTCGATTACATGATCTTCATAACTTCAATCAAAGTGTTTACCGTCCAGTACCTCAATCAGGTCCTTGTTGTGAGCCCTGGCCATACCAAATAACCCCTCTCCCGGCCCATAATGAAGACGGTTGATGCGATGGGGAATAGGGGAACAGAGTTCATTCATTAGAATGGTCGATTGTAGGATAGTCAATCGAACACAATTAAAAGCCAAATTATAAGGTTTGTGCAAAGACCGGTGGACAATTACAAATCCGATTAGGCTAGTTAGACATCAAGGCTGGTGTATGGCCACCATGTAAGCCTACAAGACGCCATATTGACAATGATGACGCCAATACACGTCATCAATATGTGTATAGAAGCTTCATTAGCGAACCATTAGGTCGTTGATTGAGATTTACGCGGACAGAGATCAGATGTCAAGTATATATGCATTCTTTTTATTAGACGATATATGTCTGAGTTGCCAATAATGTCCTACCTTTCAATTATACGGATGGATTTTTTTAGGACACACCTGACAAAAAATGACACTTTGTCACCGAAGAAAAACAGGAGGATTGCAGCGAATGGGGAGATGTGTGAACGTTATGTTTCACCAGCTGCATTTCATCAACTTATATTAATATCAAATACCATTCAAAGTCAAAGTTAGCAAACATTTCTTAGGCATTTGTCAACATCAAAATTAAGAATCTGAAACACCTATCGGAATTGTTTGGTACATTTATTTGATTCAACTTGCCGTTCATCAAAAGTGTATTGTCCCTATCTAACATGTTTATGTATATTCTTTTAATGGACAGTTTGTCACGTTGCTCTTGTACCACCGTTGATGAAGTTCAGAAATAAATGAATTTGAATCTGAATCAACGCAGTTACGTTGACACAAAGTTGATCATGATTAGCATACGTGTGTAAAATTAGGCTTCATTCTACTCTTGTTCCACGATGTCTTGTGTGTTCATATTACCATTTATATCTATTTATATTTGCGTATTGAGAGGAAATAAATCGGGTGTTGTTTAATGTCTTCATGCACATTAAGTCTAATAGTGAGCATGACACTCTTATCGTGTCGATATGAAATATCTCAGTACTTCGTGCTCACTTCCGCGTGACATCTAAGCTCCTTGTGTAGGACGTGACATAACGCTAAATAACGATGCTATGAGGCACGTTCTCTGGTCTATATCATACTCTAGCCAAGGCGGTTGTTCCCCCATGGCAACAACGAAATATGATATTTACACTAGGTGTTAATTCAAGGTGGGCTGTTTTAGCTTTGATTTTGTAAACTAAGATGTGACACAGAACCAACCAACTTGACCTAATAGAGAAATGACCAGTAGAGCCCGCCACGCAACACTGTGTAGTGTGTGCTGGAGGCTGCATAGCGTCTTGTTTCAACCCGACCGCATTAGATGATAAAGAATAGAACAACAGCATCCACGTCATTTAAAGCAAGTCTCCTTCAGGGTGTTTTTAAATTGAAACTCTTTTGGGAATCTAATGTCATAACTGATGAATTTAGTAATCCAAAATATATATGTAGGGGAGGACTAGTGATATCAAGACAGTATATTCACACGCGATGTTTAATCTATCATGGAGTTATTGATAATATAAACGTGTTCGCAATCACAACTTTCAAATTGTCTATTATGATGTTATGAGACTCTAGCTTTTTATGAAGTTGTAAAATACAGCGTGTTTAAACTTCTTTTATTTGTGTCTTGAAAAGATCAGAAGTGCTGCACAGACTGTTGCATTGGACACTAACGTGCTATATATTTCTCATGGCGCCGATAGAAGTTTTACATCACATTTTCCTCAGCACCAGATTGCGACCAATTCAAAGA